GCACACTTCTCAGGAATAGATCAAGTGTCTATTACATTGTTTAATTCTAAGACCTCCTAAATGAAATCCCATTGTCTGAATGTCTGCTAAAGGGCACTTAACCTTCCCTAACCTGAGGCCCAGCTCAGTCAGCCTCTGGAATAACCAATATCATGGGAAGGACATCAGATGCTGCTGATTGCAAGTTCAAGCTGAACCCAGCAGGACTACATATGACCAAGAGCACAAATGCTGCCAAAGAACGTGGAGGGTAGCAAAACCATTTTAGGAGCCGAGAAGCTTAAGAGAAAAGTTTATGCTTTCAAATAGCTAACGGAGGTGGGAAATTCAATCTAGAAATCAGAGCCTCCAGAGAGATTCTGCAACTGCTAGAAGAATTGAAGAACCTTTCTTACATGGAGACTGGCCACCAGTTTTCTAATATACCTAAACAAAAATACCAGTCTTCCCCATATCCAAACTCCTTTTTCCTTAGATATGTTGGACTGAAGTTTATCACAGGACTGATATGATTATTTATACCAGAACATATCCATGTTCAAACAATGCTTCTTGCCTTTTCATTAGTTTTCCAAGATTTACTCATTGTGAAAATTTGTTTTAATTCGCTATGCATGGTGGTGCACACCTGTAAACCCAGCAGCTTGGGAGGCTGAGGCAGGAGGATTGCAAGTTCAAAGCTAGCCTTAGAGACTTAGCGAAATGGTGTCTCAAAATAAAAATTAAAAAGAGCTGGGGATGTGACTCAGTAGTCAAGCACCTTTTGGTTCAGTCCCTAGTACCAAACATATATATATATAGGAGAGAGTCTGTGCAGTGCTTACAGTTACGTGGCTAAGAAGTAGGTGATCCAGATTGAAGCCATGACATCTAACTTCAAGCCCATACTCTTAACTATCCCAGTGTATTTCTTCTGTAGATGCCAAGCAATCTGTGGACAATCGGGAAGTTCAAAGAAATAGGAAACTGAGTCTTTGGCCTATAGAATGAGAATACTTGGTTGAGATAGTGGTGGTGAAGGCATTTATAGTTGATGCCAAATGAATAGAAGAGGTAGTGGATGCCTATCATATCTGTCACTAAAGTCTGGAAAGGGGAGCAACCTTCACTTGAAGGAGATGAGATGATCTTTGGAAGTCATTTTTAGTGCGAAACTTGCCTCCCCTGGCCATGCCCAACAGAGGCAATGGGAATACATCTAAAGACTCACAAGCCCGTATCAGTGAGAGCTAGAGCTATAGATAATTAAACTTGAACCTGCTTCTTCTTCTTCTTCTTCTTTTTTTCTGTTTAGGACTTCTTATTCTCTCTCTCTCATGCTAACATTCTTAGTCATTTCTTGTGGCAAAATAATGAGTCGTTTCTAAAATTGATTTCCCAAATGTTAGTTTACTAACAAACGAAGGGACAGTTTCCTGGATTTGCTGTACATCCCGGAGTACATTCCATGTGTCAGTTCTCTCAAGCACTGCTTCCATAGAGATACAAAGTGCCACCAAACATGTACCCAGTGCTGTTGCAATAAAAGAGTGCAGAGCCAAATAATCAGAGGGTTGGATACAATAGAGACCAATCCCTCAGTCAACAATTGAGACCAACCCCCTGTGAAGAATGGAGAAAAACGCCACCATTTGGCATCAGAGGCCAGATTACCTCTTCCTTTTAATGGAAGGCACCCAAGTCTCCCTTCGCTCCAAGGTTCCTTAGGGAATCTGAGAAGGACCAGAATTTTCCCATATTAAGGTTCCCATGAAAAAAAATAATGCTAGTAAATTCTGTTCATCATTAACACAACTCTACATGAGAGGAAAAAGGGAAAATCTATTTTTTATTGGGCTGTTATTGTCTTTTGCTTTAAAAAAATGTGTTACCAGAAAAGTAGAAACACAAGACAACCCATTAGTATTGCTGAAGTTTTCTTGCCAACCAAAGCACACTGCTCTTGGGGTCGGGGATGGGGAGAGACAGACTTTCGATGGAGGGATGTCTTTGGACACCCTCCATGGTTTGTCAGTTGCAGATGCTAATGGAACCAGGCTTGGTGACTGAAGGGGAAAATGGAATATGAAAGCAAAATGAAAGAGGCCTAGGAAGCAAGCATGTCATTTCTAAATGAAGGTTTCATGCAAAGGAATTGAGTCTTTTCACAGCTGAAAATGGGATCTTTAAATAAGATAAAATAAAAGGATGCTTTGGCTTGTTGCAGATTCTGTAATGAAATACAGTTTTCCTAATACCATGTGACCTGCATTTCTCCCTGCTCTATGGGTGCTATTCCTTGACGTACAAACCCGTATTTTCTCAAGTCAGCATTTGATGATGGATGTCAAAATACAGGCCATGTATTATGCATATAGCATTACCGATTTAAGGTGTTTACTTGTCAAGTTGAAGAAATTCAAAAACGTCACATCCACTGAATCTGCACAGCTGCCACTTGCAGTTTTTCATGCTTTTGAATGAAACTTCTGATAAAAACAGTTTAGTTTTCCCCTTCACTATTCTAGGGGAAGAAAACAGCTAGCATTTAAAATGCATGTTCTTGGTTATGAGGTTAGCTGAAAAACATACCCTCAGAAGTTCAGGAAGATGGACACTAGACTGTCTTTCAAAATGACTTGCTCTGTTCACAGTATATTATCATAAAGAATAAAATTAAGTGCAATTAGGGAATGGATACTAAATAAAAGTTTTCTTCCTGAAAGTCTGGCACTTGATATGAAATTGATACATGGGAGAGTGGAAAATAAGAAAGTCCTTTTATATTTTTCTGGCATTTCATGCATAGATACCTGCTCCAAACAACAGGCAATTATTGAGCACCTGTCGTTTTATGCCTGATTCATGCATAGCCAAAATGCTAGATTCAGCCCAATCTTGTCACATTACTGGAGAGTGAGTCAGAAATCTGGTCATATAATCTATTTGAAGTTTTTTTCCTGGTAATGTAGCATATGACTTTGAACCATAGTTCCTAATTCCTGGATAAGTATGTGTGGCAATACACCAAGGACAAAAAGAATCCAAAGTCAATGTGAGCACCTGCCTGTCTCCCAAGGTGGGATAGCAAACTGAGTCTCATATCCAACTGGAGAAATTAACTTTCAACAAGTGAACATATGAGGCAAGTAAGTTTCTCGTGTTTATGTGTCTCTATGAATGCCCTGAGAGGTAGTCCCTAGACTTATCTGGGATCCTTTCTTATTCTCTCTGAAGTTATGATTGATCCAAGCTCATGTACTCAGGTCTTGGGCCTGAGACCCAAGGAAGCTCAAACTGCAAAATCATAAACCAAGCAGCTGCTTTCCAGGTTTTCCGTACCCACATTTGCCTTATGATATTGCTGTTGGACCCCCTGAGAAATTCAATGGATCCACAGTAAATAAATGGCATGTATTATCAGTTGGGAGGATTGTAGTGTTATAGTTAAAGCTTCGTCCCAGGGTTTCATAAACTGACTTCCAGACATTCACGTGTAATCGAATCAAGCCTTTATTGAAGCACACCGGTGGCGGCTGACCAGAACATAAAACTGTTCCCCTGATCATCCCCGAACAATTGCAAGGGCACTCCTTATAAGCCTGAAAACCGCAAAAGGGATGTTCGGTGGGTCTAGCCAATGCAAGCAAGCCAGGTTACAGAAGCAGGACAGGGCAGTCAAGCAGAGGGAAGCCTAACCAATCACAGTTAGCCCAGTCACCCCAGTTACAGAAAGAGAGCCCCGTTACCCTAGATACAGAAACAAACCCCATTAGGTAGTTCTGTGTTCTTAAAGGTTTCTATAGCAAAAGGAAAAGAACATCTTGCTCCAGTCATGACTCTTCTACTTGGCATGGTTGTTTTACAGGATGAAGTCATAAAACAAAATGGAGTCACATTTGCTCCTACTATCACAGTAGTTGCAAAGATAGAAAATTCCTTCTCAATTTGGCTTAAACAAAAATATTATATTTTATGTTGTGCATATATGTGTAAAAATATTATGCCATGTGTAAGCATGTAAAAGAGAGAAAGAGAAAGAAAAGAGAAACTCAGTGTGTGTATGAAATCTCACATATTAGGAAACTAAGTTAGGGTGGTTCCTGGGTAGTTATCTCAGGAACTCGGGCAGTTCTGTGATTCATTTCAGTCAGTATCATGAAGGTGCTTTGGTACTGAGCCAGTGTTCATCCTATTTGCAAGATGGCTGCCACAGGTCCAGGCACTGGAGGCACACATAAGGATGTTCAGTGTATTAAATGAAAATCTCTTCTTTTTAAGAGCAAGGAAGCAATTCTTCAAAGCCCCAGTCAAGATTCCCCCTACCCCACCTTCCATTGTCCAGCACTGTGTCAAAACCCAAGCCAGTCACTGACTGGCAGGAGGAGAAGCAATCACTTGGTTTAAGATAACAGTCAGGAGAGATTAGGTGTGCTGAAGTAAGGACAACAGTGACAAACAAACAAGTTGCCATGGTTTAAAACAATGCAGCTTTGTTTTTCACTTGGACAGAATGCTTTGTGAGTCTGGGCAACTGTCCAGGGCTCCTGTATACACTTGACCTCCATTGCAACCTGTGCCCCCACAGTTGTCGTGGCCTGGGATAGAAAGACAGCAAGTCAAATACTTGTACCAGAAGTAATCTGCATTGCTCTGTTCACTTGTCATGTGCCAGAGCATTTCAGGTGTCACATGGTCCTCTCTCACTCCAGGGGGACAGAGGTCAATTTTCCTATGTGCCAGAAAGGAGAGGGGATTGAAATCTGTAAGAAGGAATAAATAATTGGAGTAGTCTGGATTTTTAGAGAACAATCAAAGTGAGTTAGAATTATTTACAATGGTTTCCTACATTGTCCTTTTAAAAAATTACCCATCTGAGTTTATCCTGAGAGTGAAAATTGTTGACCTCTAAGTAATGCATAAGCTACATTTTAGGGGTTGCATATGTAAACTGTACTCTCAATATTTCCAAATTTTCCACTTCTCTAATTTTTCTTCCTCCTCTGTTTTCTTGCCACTAGGATTCACACCTCCAGGAATGGACAGATCCTCTCCGGATAACAGCCCAGTGCACGGGATGTTACGCCAGCCATCCATCACCACTGGGGTCAACATACCCATCATCACTGAACTAGGTGGGGGTCATTGTTGGCTCTGGGGGAAATTTTTTTGTCCTCTTTTCCAGACCATTCAGGATATAAGGAGGTTGGCCTACCTTTTGCTCTTTCAGCCTCTTAATGGGTTTTGTTTCCTGTGTAGTTGGACAGGGGCAGGGGTAGAAAGAAATATGGCAGACTACCTGAAGGAAAATCTGATCTGTCTTTTCTCTGAGATGAATAGACTGTTTCCTTCATACTGTTCACTGTTTTCAAAGGAGCATGAGATGATGGCTTTGAGATCAGGGCATGTATTTGGGAAAGGGGAAGAAAGGAGGAAAGGTTGTTCTCTACGGATTCCTTCTCATGAATTTTCACTGGAAGCACCTCTTTTGAGCATTCTGTCTGGACAGCTTCCACAATCTGAATTCTCAAAATGTCAGGTCTACCCAAATTCACATGGAGAACTGGGTAGAAGCATTGGCTAAGATGTAACAACTTCACATTTGATCTGTTCTAGTTGAACATCTCAGCCAAAGACCATTTGCAGAAAATGGCCACTATGGTTTTAAAAATGATGGGATTTTGAGGGGGGGCCATATTCATTGGCCAATGGAATCCCACTTCTAACCTGTCCATGGCAGGTCCTGCTATCATTTATAAATTTGCAAAACTTAGGGGAGTGACTCTTCCCCTAAGACAAATGCAAACTGCTCATGGTCCTGGGTCCCTTTGCTTTAGAATGTTTCCTCTGTTATTCCCTCACTTTTCTTTTTTTGTACTTTCCTCCACTCCCTTTCCCCATCCCTTAAATGCCGTACCCAATTAGCTAAACCGGGCAAGTTGCCTTTGGTATCAGTCAATCAGGAAAAAAACAGTGGAACACACATTCTAATGATAACTGAACTGGGTAAGAAGCGCTATTTTCCTTGACATCAGTATCTCCTTTTGTTCTGTTCTTGGTGTTTCCAACAATCATTGGCTTGTTTTTTTATTTCACTGGCTGTAACAGAAAGGCTACCCCATGGCACTGCTTTGAATGTGTTTTATTTGTGGCTCTGGTTGGAATTGACTGTCTTGTTCTGGCCTTTCTTAATGATTTTTTTCCCCACACAGCATCAGTAAACCTTTGATCACACCCATCTGACCTGGCAGTTGTTTCCAAAGCATCTTTGCTCTGATTCATTTTCTGTGGCCCAAGCCTTTTTTATTTTATTTTTTTCCCACACGTGCCCCTGCTCTCCTGCCTTCTCCCTATCTTCCTCTTCCAACACACTGTCAGTTTGACTGACACATCTTCACAGCTCTCAGAGGAAGTCAAAGGAGAAATATAAAAATTTTAAGATAAGAAACCTAAGATGGTGCTTCCCTCCAGCTGTTTATTTTCCTTTATTCTGACTTTATTTGCCTTTTTTCCTCCTACTAGGCCCTTTCTCAGAAGCTCTGGTTCTTAAGCCATAAAAGCAGCTGCTTCCTAGGGGAACCCTTCCTTACTAAAGCCAGATTTTGAGAAGGGTGCAGAAGAGAAGGTTAGCAATCCAGCACACTGACCCCACCCTCCTAGATTCGTCCAGAAGATGAAGGCTTCTGGTCATGACTGCGTTTGTCAGGCCCTTCCACAGTTCCCCATGACTTGGTTAATAACTCCGTGAAGGGCACCCATCAGCAGCAGGTCTCAGAACTGGGGATTGATCTTCTAAATAGAGACAGTGAAAGTACTGCTCAGCAGAGGGGTAGATGGAGAGGTGGGAGCACCTGCCTTCAGATGATTCACAGATGAAATGTACACTCCATTTTCTTGGCCCCAAAATATACTTCAAAATAAGAAAGCAGGCTTTTAACCCAGTAATCTTGCTTGTGAGGTGTCTAGAAACTAGGGAATAAATTGTCTACCATTCAGCCCTGCATTATTGTAGACGTAGCCATTTATCAGGCCAGATTCACTCAGGTCAAAGAGTACTGCACTATTTTCTGTTTCCAACCATAGGAGAGGTGTCTTTTTCATGCTTAGCGTAGTTGGCTAAAAGCTTAGGTTTCTAGATTGCTCTTTTCAGAACTGTAGGGCCATAAGAGACCTGGAGAGCTCACGTGGCCCAGATTTCTGGTTGGAAAATTCATTCAAACACTTCCATCTCAGAAACCTACAGCAACATTTCAAAAATATCAGTGCCAGAAGTTTCTCTTTCTCTTTGGAATTCACATGCTGCTAACTAAATGGGATATCCTGATTTGTGATTAGTGGAAGAGAAAAGAAAAAGTTTTGTGCTATAAATCTGAAGCAGCAAATTCAGGTATTCAATAAACATAAGTGACTCTCAGAGAAAGTCAATAGAGAAATATTAAAGTCCTTCCCATACCAGATTTCTTCTTTATGTGCAGAGAGCCTTCCAAAGGAGAAATACTAATCTGACCAACAATATACTTTTGGACAATTAGAAAACAAAAATTGCAACAAATCAGGTTTTGAAATCTGAATTGGCTTATTTATGATTCTAGAATGGGCAATAGACCAAAATGGTTTACAATGCTGGATCCTACCATAAGGACAGGCTATATTTACAGCCAGAAAAGTGACATAGGGAACACAGAAGTAAAGTTTTGAGACAGCTTATTGGGTATTGGTGGTGTCTGTCTTCTTTAGACTGTGTGGTCACTTGTGATTGGGTAGCTCTCAGCTCCTTGTTACAATAATAAGTTATAGTCTGCTTTATGCATCATGTTAAGTTACAATTGACTATGTATGGAGACACCTTTAGCCAAAACTTAAAATTGCATTGAAGCAGCTTTAGGCCAAACTTAATTCAATTTAACAGGACAAGGGGAAGGAGATGAAGAAACATCTAGCACTTGAAGGATCTATAAGCAAGCCTTTAGTGTCTTGAGAAAGGCAGAGGGAAAGTAGGCATTTTCAAAATGCAGTGGGTTGATAGACATTTGATGTCATAAAGGAGAAAGGCGGCCATCAAGAAAGCAACCTCCATTGATCTAGTGCATAACCTGATCCAAATGTTGGGTCAAGCTCACCAGCATGATCTCTTATGAGCTTCTTACTAACCTCAGGAGAGGGCTGCTGTGTAATTTCCCCACTTTACAGAGAGAGAACCTAAAGGATAGGCTCTTAAAATAATTTGCCCAAGGAATTTGGTAACAGAGCCTGACTCAAAGCCCAGATGTCCCAGAATCTGGATTTTGGACTTTTACCCAATACCCTGTAACTTGTGTGTATACTACTAAGACAATAGGGACCCAAAGCAGTGAACTTTGGGAAAACAGAGCAAAGATTTTCCCCCATTAGAGTCTTTCTATAAGGAAAAAAATGGCATCATTTAAAAACAATTATATGTCTAGCCTTTTATCCTATCATCATTTATTCTGCCTCATGCAATAAACAAAAGTTGTGTTTTTCTTTTAAGAAAAGTTATCAGGAAAGTTACTTTAAAAAATTAAAACAATAATTCTAGGAAAGGGAATATCTGCTGATACATTTTAAAAAAGAATCAGGGAAAGGAAACCTCATCTGTTCTCTCCCTAAAAGCAAATAATTGTTCCAGAAATCACAAGTACCCCCTCCCCATCCCCATGCTTTTCCCCTATTACTTGCTCTGCAAAAGTGATACTTTCTGAAGCCAAGATGGGAATGGAAATTAATTTGTCACTTAATTTTTAATAAGTTAAAGACATCTGAGTGACACAACTAATCAGTCTGCACGTGTGTGCTGGAGGAGTCCTTGAGGAATCCTCAGATGGAGATGAAATACAGCAGCCAGGGCTGTATCTGCTTAAGTGGAAACAGAAAAGATTGAGCTGTTTAGAAGGGAAAGGGAGAACGTGGGTGTAGCCTTGCAACTCAGAACTCAGAGAAAGTCTTTGTCAGCAAGCAGTGGGGTGGGGAAGGGATGCATCCCACCTGGGGGTTCCTGGAGGTTCAGCAGGGCCTGTTGGGTGTGGGCTTGGATTCAGAGCCCTAGGCCACCAGCACCACCCAGGGCAATCCCCAGGGCAGGCAGGCTGTGGGTTATGCCTGAGGATGAATTCCTTGCTGTTTGCTTTTGCCCTGCTCCCAGTTCATTGCTTTTTCCTTTGAATATGTTGCTTTTTTTTTTTTTTTCTCTTTGTGGCTAAACTTACCTTGCCAGCATGGCTGCTCATCACTGAAATATGTCCATCTCTCAAAGGACTTGGCTACCAAAAAATGCTTCAGAGTGTTTTTCTGTCATGATTCTAAAACTATACCAAAGAACTGGCCAGCAGGGTCTCCTGGTCCTCCAGCAGCCTGCTGTGCAGCAGGTCTGCTTGATCTCATTGTTCTCCAGGTCTTGGAAATTTGAACAGTCCCATAGGAGCAGTCCATTGAGTCCAACTGCCCCCTCCAGAGATCCATCCACAGCTTCCCATGCTTTTGTTTCCTTTTCAGTGACTTCAGTGTTTCTACACCCATCACCTGTTTCTACACCAGTGTCTCTAGGCTTTGCTACCCAGGTGTGTTCTTCAGTGCTAATTCTTTTCTTATGCTTTTTCTAGTGAATGATACTAATGTTCAGTTTTTGGACCAAGATGATGACGATGACCCCGACACAGAACTGTACCTCACGCAGCCCTTTGCATGTGGGACAGCATTTGCCGTCAGCGTCCTGGACTCACTCATGAGCGCGGTGAGTGGTCTAGCTCCCTGTAGGAAGCTGGAGTTGCAGCTCCTGCAGAGAGCAAAGCTTCATGAGGATTACAGTCCAGAAGGGAGTACCAACATTAATCAAAGGGTCATGGAGCAAACATTTGGTTATATATTCCTCAAAGTGCAGGGAAGTCTATGACCTGCTCTTGGGAATCAGAGAAAGATTCCCTAAGGAAGTGATATATACTTTATTCCAAAATGTGAACCATAAAGAGAGGACATTTTCTGGGAAGAGTATTCCTCAAGGAAGAATAAAAGCAAATGCAAAGGCCTAATAATGCTGAGGAAACTGACTCTCTCAAGGAAGTCACAGAGAGCTGGTGAGCTGGACCACCATGAGAAAGGGCTGGGGAGGACAGACCAAGATCAGACCTCAGGATCTCAAAACCATTTTCATGGTTTTGTTTTTTTTTCTTAAAAGCCATGAGGAGGCGAAAGTGTTTAAAATTACAGAGTGATGTAATCAGGTTTGTGTTTTGAGGGGTTTGCCTTGTTGGTCTGCTGAACATGGCTTGGAGGAGTAAGGTGGCATCAGGAAACCTGAGTACAAGGCCATCATAGCTTGAACTAGGGTAGAGATGGTAGAGATGGGAAAGATGGATGGATTTGAGTAGCATATGTTAATAAAATTGATAAGACTTCGGAATACAATGAACTGAGCAGAAAGTAGAGAGGACAGTGGGTCAAGGGTGATACCCCAAGTCACTGCCTGTCACTGAGACAGCAGCCCAGGCCTGAAAGCCAGGCCTGGGTAGTTCTCTGATGCAGGGAGGGGACAGAGTGATGATGAAGAGACGGGGCAAGCTGGCTGATAGATCAAAACATTTTTCTAAATGGCTTGATGTGTATCAGATTGTCAAGGCATTTGTTGTCTTACTTTTGCAACCTAAAACGAATAACAATTTAAAAAAATAGATCCCCGCTTAATGCAGTCATCTTTCACTGCAAAAGGCAAAAGCAGACATTTAGAATGGGTCATAACCTGGGTATTGTGAAGTGTTCCCACTGAGTGTCTTTATTTACTATATTGAAAATCCTCTCTATTTTGGAGTCATCGAATTCACAATTTGCAAAAATGCAGACATAGGCTGGATAAAAACTGACCTTTGGAGAATCCATGTAAAAGAGCTTTATTGAACACATTAAAACCATAAATGTAACTCAGAGATTTTTATACACATACATTTCTTAAACTGCTCAACAAGGTTTTCCTCTTGAATGTGTTAAACAACTGATATGCTAATTATACATTATTCTCATCTATTCATTAGAGCGAATCCCAGAAGGACCTCTATTTGAGGAAAGAAAAAAACAGAGCTTTTAAAGACTAATTTAGATTATTCTATATTCCTGAATGTGGTTCAACTGTAAGCATATCTTAGTTAAAAATCAGAATTATGGATTTAAAAATAACTAAGAAATAGCATTCATCTGAATTAAGTTTGACTGGGCTGCATGCCCTGCCATCACTTTCTGAGCCAACAAGGAGAAAAATACACTCCCTGGAGAAGGGCATTTCTTAGGCTCTTAACCTAGCTGATGATACCGGGGCTCACCTTTCTACCTGCCAGTGATGTTGAACTTGGTTTGGGCCGACTCTTTGAGCAGGCCAAAAGGAATGATAGAAGCTACAGGACATGCTCATTAGAGCACCAGATTCTATTTAACAGGCCTCAGCATTCTCCAAATCCAGGTTTCCAATGGACTTCGGGTAATTCATCTCTTTAGAAATGTCATTGGAATTCTTATCCTAATTATAGAGTTTTCAGAATACTATTCTAAGAGATGATTAAGCTGTTGGTTATAGTAGATCTTGTTTTCAGAATTATAAAATTTTTATAATATTAGAATTTTTAAAACTTAAAATTTATATAATTATTTGTTTGTACATATCAAATATTCAGTGTGTTCTGAGCAGAACCAGCTACTAATTTGCAAGCCTACTTTTTCATAAATTACTAAGAATTTCAAAATGGTGACAACAGAATATTAAACCAAGTGAGGGACCCCGAAAATGTAGATCTGAAAATGTAGATCCTGTGCACCTCACAGGTTGAACACCCATGGACCTAGCCCTAGTTCCAAGGAATGCAATTGGATAAATAGTAGAGAGCTTCTACACAATCAAAGGAGCCTACGGTGGCCATGGCCTGGTGGTGGGGGCACTTTGGGATTTGATTTGCACAGCTCTTTATTACACCACTAGGGAGTCGAGAATAAACCTGGTTTAAGTGTTGAGGTCAGACATTTAACTTGTCTACTGATAGTGACTTTTCAAATAATTTGTCAAAAAGCCTATTCAATTGTTCCAGACTGTGTTTGTATTGTCTGGGATGAACAAGTTCCATAGTGATGATTGGGTCTAGTTCAGCACATTCAATAGGATCTAGACTTTTTGAAAATGTGTTCCCTGCATTCCACTAATGTATGAAGAAGCAGATTAGTCAAGTACCAAGGCAGGACTCAGTGGGCAGAAATATAGAGAAAGTGAAACTCCTTTGAATGGCAGGAGACAGAGGTGAGCTTGCATCTCAGGCATTGCTCACAAGCACCATCATGACTTCCACACCAATCTCCATAGATGCTGATGGTCTCTTCTATCCTGCACACTTCCCAAATTGCCAGTTAATCATGTGTCTAAACATTCCCTGAATATTGGCCTTCATAACTCAATTCCTGCTGCTCAGTGCTTCATTTGTTAAAAGAATAATGTTTTGATTCATCATGGGTGTTCCTGGAATAGATAGGGGTGCTACAGATGTGGTCTTGTGGCTTCATCCTACAAATCAATGGCAGAAACCCATTAGGAGAGAGAATAATTGTGCTTATGGGTATAGCCTCCAAGAAGAGATCACTACATTTTCAGGATGGTCCCAGCTTGCGCTCTCGCTCGCTCGCTCGCTCGCGCTCTCTCTCTCTCTCTCTCTCCCTCTCCCTCTCCCTCTCCCCCTCCCTCTCTCTCTCTCTCCTCTCTCTCTCTCTCTCTCTCTCTCTCTCTCACACACACACACACACACACGATGAAAGGAAGTCCTCTCCATCCTAATACTTTCCTTTTAACCCCAACCCCAACTTCAGTTTTACCAGGACTCTCTATAAAGAGAACCTAAGGCATGGACTCAAGAGGCAGACTAGATGCAGACCCCAGCACCACCATTTACTGGCTGTGCAACCTGAACCTCTCTGTGCCTCAGTTTGCTCTTATTTAAAATGGGGACAATAAGCATACTATCACTTAGGGGTTGTGAGATGAGCAGTGTTTAAGATGTAAAGTGGTTAGTGTATCACTTGGTACATGGTAAGCCCTCCACCTATTTATGCCTGTTACTGTTCTTCATGTTGATTTATTGAGCACTTAGTAAATGGCAAGAATTGTTCCCCATGCTGAGGATTCAGCAAAAGAAGAAAGACCCAGACCCTGCCCTCCTGTCATTTAAATTGTGCTTCTAGTGGGCTAAGCAAGGGTAGTGACTATGTAAGGGAATAAATTAACAATGGCACATAAGGAAAATACATTTGAAGTAAATGAAATAGTTTGAATGATGAGGTTTAGGAGCAAAGTGGGTATATACTTCAGGAATGTCCAGAAGCAACATCTCCATGTTCTCATCTCTAATATCAGTGAACTGGCCTCTATTTTCCAGAAAAATCTGGATTTAAGTTAGAAAGGTTGGAAGAGATGACCACTGGACAATGGTCCATTTGATTTAATGTGTAAACTATATTTTCATTAAGGGCCAAACCCCTTGATGAGCTCAACGTCAGCCCAAGCTAACCAGCCCCGTGTGATTTCAGAGACATAAGCCAATTTACTCCATGGCCCCACTTCTTACACTTTACTCAAGAGCTTCCACTTCTTTTGCTCACAAGGAGGCAGAAAGAGTGTCCACGGTCCTTGCCAAGAGAGCAGGACAGCATCAGTCTATAGGATCTAAGTGATAAATGCAGGGATATTCTGCTGGACTTGAGAATATACCCCTGCTATCACATCAGGCCAGGCAGGCCCGGGATAGGAAAAAATAATCCAATAGTTCTCATCCCTCAAGAAAGAAAAATACTAAAAATAAAAATCTACACTGTGAAAACTAGCAAATATAAAAAATGGCAGCTATGACATGGAAAATGACAATTTTAGAGCAATTATAAACGAAAGGCAGAGTGCCATTAAAGTTAAGGCAATGTTATTAAAAGATGTGTTAATTTTCAGTTAAATTTTCTATAAAAGACCAATTAGTTTAAAAGGCTTGACAGCATTAACTGTGAAACATAAGCTCCGGTAATTATACTTTAAAAAAATAAAAAGAAGAAGATGCTCAAGCGTGGTGGAGACGCACACACAGAGGGGTGGTGCAGAGCAGTCTAGATGGCGGTGCAGGCTCAGCTTTCCTTGTTGAAACTCCCTGGTTCTTATCCCATCCTGTCCTGATTTCTTGTGTCTCCTTATGGGACCTCAGAATCACCCAACTTTAGAAGGCAAGGGGACCACACATCAGATCTGTGTTAGAGATTAGATCACAGAGACATAGGGAGAGGGCATTTGCTAAATCAGTTGCACTGCTGGTTAATTCTTCTTTTTATAAGCTCTCATTTATTACTAGTTTATAAGTTACAAAGATGTTCCTTTAAAATTACTCAATAAACTATTGTTCCATATTTTCTTCTTCAACTGTTACATGGTCAGGAATACAAAGCAGAAAAAAGTGAAGCAACTTTCCCATTGTCGTAGCTATTGAATGGCAAAGGAGGGATTAAATACCAAGCCAGTCAAGTCTGAAGTCTGTACTCATAACCAGGCTGTCATGTTGCCCTACATGGGGAAAAAAAAAAAGCAGACTTCCCTGGGCAGATGTGGAACTATGATCTTGGCAGTGGGAAGAAGGACTCCCTTATTCTTTAGACTACTCGAGAGTCCTGACTGCAGGCACTGAATGGACTCTATCTCAGCTTTCTTATGCTCCTAACACCCATGTAAAAGAAATA